GTCTAAAAGTAATCAACAAGATTTGACCCAGCAAGTCTACCTTAGGAAATTAGTGTACAGATATTCCCTGTCATGTTCAGACATAGATACTGACATAAATACAGACGTGAAGTGAACTAGCATTTGTAGTCACAAAAGAACCGGAAAAAACCAAATGTCTAACAGGAGATGCTTAAGTAAATATTAGTGTATGTGTTTTTAAACAGTGGAAAAGTAAGCTCTTTCTAAATCCATGAGACAAGTCTAGAAGCACTTGGTATCAGTATTTTCCAAAACACATTATTATGCAAAAAAAAGCAGGGTGTAGAATGCTGTTTGCCTTGGAGTGATTTGGTTTTTTTAGAAAAGGATGGATGTTCATATACCTTTTGTATACATGTAAGAAAGTTTAAACAACACCCAAAAAGCAGTAGCAGGGGTTAGTTCCTGAAAGGGAAAGTGGGGGGCTAAAGGAGGTTGGAGGGTACCCACTTTTCACTGTATGCCCTTTGTAATGTTTGGTTATTTCCACGCTCATGTATTAATTATATAAAGGAAAAAAATCAGGCCTGTGCATGCTTGCTTGTATGCAGTTAGCTGATGAGTAGACTGTTAAATCGCAGGTGTGACACCCTGAGTTGGGTGCCAAGCAAGACTCCAAGTCAGCCCTCATCAAAATAATTGACTGGGCGCCCACCATCTAATGCCCAACAGGTTCAGTCTTGATGGTAGCCATTACAGAGGGATTAGCACTTATTTTAAATTTCAAGTGTTTCTCCATTGTTTGTGAAAAGGGTTGTTGGCAGCTGCTAAGTAGTGTTAGGGGATCAATTTTGGAATAGAAACTCCCCCTGATCCCCATCCAAGATTCAGTGAAGTCAGGAGGAGCCCGCTAGAGTCACCTGAGGCGTGTCTCCACACTGTGCATGTCTGGGCCACACACCCCAAAATTCTATTCCAGTACATTTGGGTGGCACCAGAGCATGTGTGGCCTCACCAAGTGCTCTGGGAGAGAGTGAGGCACACTTCAGGCAAGATCACCTGCAGGATGGTCAACAAAGCAAGAAAAAATGTCTCATCCAGCTGCATCAGTCAGGGTCCAAACAGGAAGCGGAAGCAACTCTGAGACTATCCATCAGTGTAATGTAGGGAACTTTAGGCACAGAGGTGAAGGAGCCACAAAGCCACATAGGAATGGCTAGGCAGACCAGAGATTAACAACCCCTGGCAAACACTGTCCTTCCTCCCCAGGAAAGGGAGCAACTGAGCAAGGCAGAACCCAAGGAGGTGGTGTCTTCAGAGACTAGATCCCCTGGTAGAAGCTGAGGCCACTGTGTATCCTATGAGATTTGGGGCAATGAAAGAGACACAACCTTCCTCCAAAATGTGGAAGGAGAGGGGAATACTCCAGCTTCTCCCTTCTCCCCATTAGCCAGAAGCCTGGAAAACAGACGCAAGTGAGCCTCACGTTCAGGTGAGCAAAGGCAATAGGCCCAGGACCAGCCCTGCTTCATTGTGTCATCGAAACCTTAGGCTTCGAGTTTCATACTTTCTCTACTTTTTGAGTAGAGAGGTTGTTGACACAAGTACTTTTGAGAATGCAAAGCCCTGAATTAGCCATTGTTGTTAGCCTAAGTTTAGAAAAATAGGGAGTTTTTAAAATACCAGTGACCATAAATTGTAAATGGGATCTGTAACTTTCTGTATTCTGTTATCATATCGAGTTGTTGCCTGTATTCTTGCTAAGAAAGGAAGTGTGCCTCCCTGGAATAGTCAAGAGTCTTGCTTTATTAGCTATCATCCAAAGCAACTTGGATGCTGTTTATCCATTCATCCATCCATCCCTTTCTACAAACCCTTTTCAGGGTTATATATAAGAAGAAAATAAACTACATTTCCTGCCTTGAAATCTTTAATTTTAGTGAGCTGGGCATGGCAGCTCCCGTCTTTATTACTCAGGAAGACCTCAGTTCAAGGCCAGCCAACACAAAAAGTTAGTGAGACCCCATCTCAGCAGTAATTTGGACATGGTGGCATGGATCTGTGGTCCTGGCTATGTGGGAGGACTCATATCCGCAGCTGGCCCAGAGCAAAAATGTGAGACTCTATCTGGAAATTAACTAAAGCAAAAAGGGCTAGGTGTGTGGCTCAAGTGGCAGAGTACCTGCCTGGCAAGCTCAATACCCTGAGTTCAAATTCCAATACTGCCAAGAATAAAAAGAACTTTAATTTTACTGGACTATGAGTGATGTATAGGAAACTACATTTGTTAAAGTATTTACTGTAGAAAAATTGGTCAGTTGAAATTATAAACTATTTTTTAAAAGAATTATACCTTTGCTCACAAAACTTACAGTAATTAACTCAATCACTATTTGCTAAGTATTCTTTTGTGGTCAACATTGCCAAAACAACAACAACAAAAAAAAAATCCTGTGTATTCTCTTAATTATTTAAGAAAGTGTCTGGAAGTCTCCTGCCAGCAATTATTTAAGCAAGGAAGTAATTTTTTCTTTTTTGTTTTCTGGCAGCACTGGGATTTGAACCCATGCCTTATGCTTGCTAGGCAGGCACTCTTACCTCTGGAGTCACCCCACCAGCCCCAAGGAAGGAATTTTAATAGATTGGCCATAATGAAGACCATGTGGTAGAGTGGGGGAGGCGGTATATGTGGTTTAGATAAGAAACAAGAACAATCTCTCTGGGAAGGCAACATTGCTTTTGACACTGGGCAACCTTGCCAGGTGCAGCATCCTTGGGTCAGGAAGAGTTGGGCTTTTGGAGCAACAGCCAGGGGCATAGTCAGCCTATCAGTTCATGGGGAGAGTGGTAAGATCTGCAATGGGGCTGGTAGGCCAGTTACACACAGCTCCTGCCTGCCTTGGGGCTCTCACTCCTGCCAGTTCCTGGAGTTGAACTGTCCCCAGCCCGTCCTCCCCAGCTCTCTGTGCACATGTTACCTGAGCAGGGAGCCTTTCCTTCCCACTCCCAAAGCATCAGGCTTTAGAGTCTTCGAAGACCTTATAACCATCAAGAAATCACACTGCTGACTTGGTTATAGTCAAGTGTGTCTTGTTTTGTTTTGGTATTGGTGGTGGTAGGGATGGAACCCAGGGCCTTGCACATGCTAGACAAGAGTTCAACCACTGAGCTGTCCCCAGCCCTCAATTGAGTATCCAGGGATTGGTTCTGAGAAGGAGGTCATTCTGTCCTTGTGTGGACATCATAGAGTAAGCTCACACAGTACACTCCTCGTGGCTTCTTGATCCAATCAAGAGATTCACAAACAGAGGCCGGGCGCCAGTGGCTCACACCTGTAATCCTAGCTGCTCAGGAGGCAGAGATCAGGAGCCTCTTCGTTCAAAGCCAGCCCAGAAAAAAAGCTCAAGAGACCCTAATCTCGAAAACCCTTCACAAAAATAGGGCTGGTGGAGTGGCTCAAGGTGAAGGCCCTGAGTTCAAGCCCCAGTACCGCAAAAAAAAAAAAAAGGATTCAGAAACAGGATGGCTGGCTACATGCAACTGTTTGACGGTAAGCTTTTTCTTTTTAGTAACTAGGAGCTTAATCCTGTATCGTGATAAGTAGTATGTACCTAGGTAATTATATATGCTGGGGACAAACCCAGGGCCTGGTGCCTGTGAGGCCAGGGCTTTACCAACTGAGCTGCGACCCCAGCCTGTATGTGCCATAATTTTATACCACTGGCATCGCTACACACTCCAGAGAAATTCGTGGTACTACTGACGACTTCAAAGTCACTAAGGATAGGTTTTCAGCTCTGTCATCATCCTACAGGACCGCTGTCATATACTAGGTCCCTCACTGACCAAAATGACGGTGAGTATGCTCAGGCTGACTGCCACCCTGGCCTCTGGACAAGCTGAGTAAGAGCCAGCACTCTGTCTGCCGAATGGCCTGTGTACCTCCAGGGACTAGCATGGTTCCTGGCACAGGGCAATCACTTAGGAATCAGCAAACTTAAATGAAGCAGCAGGGACAATGTCATCAGTGATCCCAGCCTTCCCTGAAAGACTGCTGTGTGTCACCCAATAGACCAAGTCAAGGGGGATCCATCAGTGGAGCAGGGACGTCTTGTTTTTCCACCCTCACTTTCATGGGGACTTTCTGAATGAAAGGAGGAAGAAGAAAGTAAGTTTTACCTGTCTCTGTGAATAGCTACCTGTATGCATGGACTACTGGAGCAGTTAAGTTCTAAGGAGAAAGATAAAGCAAGAATAAACTCAAATCAAGCCCCGCCCATGGGAGTTAGAGAGGGTGACAGGCAGATGCAGAGGGAAGGGCAAGGGCAAATGTCCAGAGGCTGGAGCGAGGTCCTGAGGCGGCAGGGGAGAGTAGTCACACATGGGGGCTGGGAGGAGTCAGATGAGCCAGCGCGGCGTCCTCAGAGTGGACACCGACCCACATCAGTGGTCTCACTCGGGAACTTAGAAAACGCTCCTTCTCCGGCCCCCTGCAGGCCTACGGAACCAGAAACACCAGAGTAGGCCGGGTGGGCTGCGCTGCGCGATAAAGGCCCCTTCCTTCCGCGGTAGTCACAGGTGATCACCACTCCTGTCGCCCACATGGTCACAGTCCTCTTTATCCCCGGAGCTGGCTGGGGACCCGCCCAGCTCTGCCGATTGGCCCAGCGGTGATGCTCCGCAGGGGTCTCCACCACCGGTCCGCTGTGCCCCGGCCCCATGTGCCGCGGGACTCGGGTGTCCCTGCAAACCGGGACCGGGGCTCGGCTGCTTCGCGGCCACGCGCGGGGGCCGCAGGTGCAAAGGTGTCCGGGCCCGGTGTACCCCCGGGACGCACCCGGCTGGAGCCGCCATCGCCCGCCCGCTCCCCGAGGGGGACGCGCGACCATTGGGGTCCCAGGGGAGGATGGGCCGCGGCCCAGGCCCGGGGAGCGCTGATGCAAAGCCAGGTTGGGGCGGCCGGCCGGGCCAGCGCCCTCTAGGCAGCGGAAGTGGCGCTTGCTTTACATCCGTCCTCCCCGCCGCGCAGAGTTGGGAGCAGGAGGGCGGGGGAGGGGGGGGTGTGGAAAAATCAAAGGAAAAGTCCTTGCACCATGTAGAGCAGCGCCCCCCTTGCCCTGGCTCCGGAGCTGGCCGGGGACCCCCGCCCCCAACTCTGCAGCCATGAACGCAAGCAGCGAGGGCGACAGCTTCCCGGGCTCGGTGCAAAGTAAGTGCTTTTCCGGGCGCAGCGCGCGCTCCGAGGCCCAGTGCGCGCTCCGGGGCCCGGGCCCAAGCACGTCTACCACGCCGCTCCGGGCCCGAGGCCCCGAAATCGGGGTGACGGTCGCGAGGGGGCTGGGGCGGGGTGCACGAGGCGGGGGGCGCTCGCTCTCCAGCGCCGCTAGACCCCTGGGGAGGGAGCGGTGGGGGAGGGCGCGCTGCGCACCCGATCGCCACCCCCTGGGGCATTCCCGCCCCGCCGGGTGGAGTTTGGGATCAGGCCGAGGGAGGGGGACTCTGGGGTAACCAGGGCAACCCTGATGGGAAAACTTGTGCCTCAGTGGCTCAGCTCTGGAGCCTGGGGACTGGCGGGTCCCACGAGGTCTTGTGGGCTCATTGCAAAGCCTTCTCCCCACTCAAGGTGGGATGCAGGGGAGAGGGGCCAGGGTCGCTTTCTTTGAGCTCGGGGTTGATTCTTTTATTTTTCCCGATGAGGACATCAGCCTTTTCCATGCCCCTGGTTTCTCCCCTGTGCACCGTTTCCCAAAGTGTGGTCCAGGGACTGAGCACCAAGCAGCCACCTGCGAGCGAGCGCATGTTTAATAGGTTTCTGGGCCCCACCCAGCGGGTCTCAGGTGAGGGGCGGTGTCTGCGGTCCCCTGCAGCTGCCTGGGTGATTCTGGAGCACAGGAAGTTTAGCTATCGAGGCGCAGGGGTTTGAGGACACCTGGCCCATAGTAAGCGCTGGGCTGTTGGCTGCTATTATTGACAATTTGGAGTCATTGATTGGCTCTCAAACTTGGTTGGGTATTCCCGGCACAACCCCACGGCATCATGACCCAGTGTGCCTAGGCGGGGTCAGTTATGTCCACGTTTAAAGACTAATAACCCCATCAGGCAACATCCTCAGGAACGGGGAAGGAGGAGCCTGGCCTTTTACAAGCACCACCTATTGAACCCTCTTAGCAACTCCGGGAAAGAGAGCCCTCTTCTTCTCCCCATTTTGCAGATAGGAAAACCCAAGGCCAAAGTCACTGCCGGTAAGTGGCAGTGTTGGGATTCTAAGAAAAGTCTAGTCATTACTATGGCACTTGCCACCTGTCACCAGCATTATTTGGCATTAAAGCGACTTCATCCTGGGTATGCTGCCAGCTTCATTATTAAGGGATCCTCAGTCATGCAAGCCAAATAATTTTTGTTCCCATGGGGGACCTCGGAAGCCCCTGGGAGACAGTGGTCCAGAGAAGGAGGCTGGCTCTGTTCCTTCCATCCGCCCAATTCCATGGACTTCAGTGGGTCAGACCCTCTCGGAGATGAGTTAGAAGTTGTCGCCGTTAGCAAGTCAACCAAATTATATTTCCACAGATTTCTTGTCTTAGTTAGACCTGGGGGAAAGGACAGATGAATATATATCCATATACCTTATAAATTTTCAGAAAGTGATAATGCATGGACACCAATCGTGTATGCATAAAGGCAGCCTTTTTCTGGCAGTACTGGGATTTGAACTCATGACTTTGCAGGCAGGCACTGTACTACTTGAGCCATGTCCCCAGCCCACAATGGTAGTCTTGTTGTAGCACTTAAGTTGGGAGAGGGGCTGGGGGGGCGTGGCCCAAGCAGTAGAGCGCCTGCCTAATAAGTGCGAGCCCTGAGTTCAAACCCCAGTACTAAAAAACAAAAGTGATAAGTAACTTGAGGAAAAGTAAAAACTTGAGGATGATGTCCTGTTACAGAGATTATGTGGTGTGTGGATAATCACAGAATAATATGTGATTAATTAAATTCAAATAGCCATAAAGATAGACGCATATGCAACATCATACTGGAAAAGATCAGATTTACAATACATTAGGATCTTATCCAGTTTTTTTGGTGGTGCTGGAATTTGAACTCAGGGCCTTGCACTTGCTAGGCTGGTGCTCTACTGCTTGAGCCATGCCCCAAGCCTTTTAAGCAATTTTTAATGTGAATTAAAAGTATTTGTAATGTCCATGGCAGGTGTAGAAGGAAAAAACATTTTTCCTCTTGCTTCTTCATGTTTCTTTCACGTTTGCTTTTATAAACATGATTTTTATTATAAGAAGGCAATGAAAAATTTTTAATAAAACTTGGAGTTCTCATATTACAGACTTATTAACTGTACTCTCTTATTAACCAGTACTGAGGTAGTGATTTCTAGTATCGTGCAAGGTACTACGCTAAGTGCTTTGCAAACCCTTAACACAGCATTAACTTTTGGTATCATTACTAAAGAGAAATAATATCCCTGTTGGGAATGAATTTTGACTACAAGTAGCAGAAACCTGAACTTCACAAAAACTAAGGAGCTGGTTGATTCCAGGGTGGAATTAGGGGGTCAGTGAAGTAAGGGCCAGAATCAGTAGGGTTCTTAGCATTTTCCACATAGCTCAAGGTGGCTGCAGAAGCCCTGACATCACGTCTGCATTGAAAGCCAAAAGAGGCAACAGTGTAATTCCAAGTGGGAACCATGTCATTCCTTTCTGCTCCCTTTTTTTATCATAAACACCACATTTTTCCCAGAATCCTCCAGCAGTGTGTTGGAGGGGTTCAAAATAATTTGGACTCATGGTGCTTATGGTAGTAGAATGTCTAGAAATGAGGGCAGGGGCTCATATTATAAATATTTATATTTACAATATAAATATATCTTATAAATTTTCAGCAAGTGTTAATTCATGGGGCAGGACCTTGCTGCTGGTCCTGCAAAGTGCTAGGCAGCTCTGCACATTGAAAAAACTAACTTGCCAAAAAAGAAAAATCCACTGCTGCCTGAAGCAATCGATGCACCAGGAGTCATGCCATCACTCGGGTCCAGGTACACTGCTGCTAGGACAAACTTGGGATTCTGTTTTCAAGAAAGAAGGGATATTGATCAGCCACTGGCCACATCTGCCACCCTGCCCTTTTGTCAGGCCGTGAGTCTGCTTTGCGTGGTGATTTAAGCTGCTTGAGATTAACCTGACTTTCGCTTTGTCCTGTGGAGTTCCAGGTGGCACCACGGTGCTGGTGGAGCTGACTCCTGACATCCACATCTGCGGCGTCTGCAAGCAGCAATTTAACAACCTGGACGCCTTTGTAGCCCACAAGCAGAGTGGCTGCCAGCTGACCAGCACGTCGGGGACTGCCCCAAGCACCGTCCAGTTTGTGTCGGAGGAGACGCTGCCCACCAGCCAGGCCCAGACCGCTGCCAGGACCAGCACATCAGAGACCCAGACCATCACAGGTACAGCAGGGGTCTGGTTGGAGGTGTCTGGCGCCTCCCAGACACCTCCATGGAACTTGTTAAAAAGACCCTTGTGGGCCCAGCCTCTGGGTTGCTGATTCGTTATTTTTAACAAGCCCTACTGGGAAGCTGGCTGCCCAGTGAGGGTTGGGAGCTGGGAGGTTAAAACAGTGAGTGTTCCCAGTTATGAATGCTACCTGTTAAGTAAAACTGACAAAAAATCAGGTTTCTAACACAAAACTCTAAATGCCAAGAAACAAACGCTTGCAGAAAATGTGATGCAGTAAGTTGTTGTTTGGGGTGGGGAGCGTGGGGGGGTGAACCCTAGGGTGTGTCAGTTGTGAAAGAATGAACTTGACCTTGGTTTAAAAGAAAAGAAAAAATGTACACATGGTCATTGATGTCTCCCTGCCGGTGCTACAGACCAGGAAAACACAGAAGCCCACCCCTCATGTACATGCAGGCTGCAAGGTGAATTTCTGATGGATCAAAAATTTCAGTATGCAAAATGAATCCCTAAAAGGTCTAGAGTAGGCCAGGTACAGCGGCTTAGCCTGTAATCCCAGCTACCTAGGAAGCAGAGATTAGGGAGATAGAGATTTCAAGGCCAGCCTGGGCAAAAAGTCCTTGAGACCACATCTCAACCAGTGGCTGGGTGCAGTGGTGTGTGCCTTTCAACCCAGCTATGCAGGGACACACAAGTAGGAGGGTCACAGTCCAGTCCAGCCCAGGCATAAACTGGGAGGCTATTTGAAAAATAACCAATGCAAAAAGGGCTGGTGGAGGAGTTCAAGTAGTGGAGTACGTGCCCAGAAAGCATAAGGCCCTGAGTTCAAACCTCAGTACCGTCCAAAACAACAGAAAAAGTTCTAGAGTAAACAGAGACACATGCACCCAACCCTACACCTACACTTACGCTTACATGGTCTGTCTTAAGAGACCAGACAGATAACTGTGCAAGTAAAAAGCACCCTACTTACAAGACTACAAACTGTGCTGGTCCTGTAGGGCAATGCAGAGTGTACACTTGAGCTAATGGCCCTCAAATTTAAATTAAGAAAACATAAACACACTTCCCAAAGACAACCAGTTACAGACCAGCTCCCCTGCCCGGAGAGAAAGGCCTGAAGGTGTGAGGGCCAATAATGTCACCTTTTTTCCAAAATAAAAAACAGAGTCTAGAGACATACATCCACATAGTCAGCTAGAACCTGCCTCCCTCGTATGTAAAGCACTTCTGAAAATCATAAAAGCTGAGAGACAGAAGAGGGTGGAGTCAGCAAAGGGCAGACATGGCACTGAAGAGAGCCCTGAGAACAGAGGGCAACAGGTGACTTAGTGATGACAGAAACGCTAGTTAAAGCTAGGCTTGGGGGAAAGACATGCTTTCATTTTCTGGGGGCGTAAATTCATATAACACAGGTAATTTTTTTTTTTGTGTGGCACTGGGGTTTGAACTCAGGGCCTCACACTTGATAGGCAGGCACTCTATCACTTGAGCCCTGCTCCAGTCCTTTTGCTCTTAGTTTTTCAGATGGGGTCTGAAAAACCCCAGACTGGCCTCCAACTGTGACCCTGCTATCTTGGCCTCCCAAGTAGCTAGGGTTACAGGTATGCCCCACCACACCGAGCTTACGTTAGAGATAGGGTCTCAGTAACCTTTGCCCTGGTTGACCTTGAATTGAAATCCTCCTGTGTGTTACAGATGTGCACCATCAAATATATTTCAGTTTTTTAAATCTTAAATTTTAAAATCTAGCTTTCATACTTGACAAGCAAGGAGTGCATTTGGCCAAGGGCTATTCGAGTCACAGGATTTGCAGTGGTGACCTCAGGTGCTCTGGCATCAGTGACAGGGACAAGCCTTACTCTGTTCCTGCAAACCACTTAATTATGGGAAGGGACCGGGCTGAGAAAACAGTGTGTGTGTGGTCAAAAGGGCTCTTGGACAAAAAACCTTTGAGCTGAGCACAAGAATTAACTTGGTGGCTCACGCCTATAATCCTAGCTACTCAGGAGGCAGACATCAGGAGGATCATGGTTCAAAGCCAGCCCAGGCAAAGTAATTCACAAGACCCTATCTCAAAAAACCCATCACAAAAAAGGGCTGGCAGAGTGGCTTAAAGTGTAGGCTCTGAGTTCAAGCCCCCAGTACCACTAAAAAAATAATAATAACTATTGATCAGTTCCAGGCAGAGGGATCAACACCTGCAAGGGCTCTGGGACCAAGGTCCATTCGAGAAACTTCAAGAAGCTCACCCTGGCTGCTCAGCAGAGAGGGAGGGGTATACCCAAGGCGAAGCTGAGTCCTGTGTGCAGAGATTGTCACAGACCTCGAGATGTCCTCAGGTGGAGGTGGCACCAGCCAGGCACAGGTGGCAAAGGCATTTCAGGCAGAGGGAACAGCACAAACAGAGACTCAGAGCCCAGAAAGAAACAATGGCCAAGGCCAAGTGTGGACCTGTTGCCTCTCAATGCTGTGGGGTGTCCCTCGCTGGGACTTCCGTTAAAGACAGGGAACTAGACACTGAGCGGAAGGCGGGGCAGATCGTACACACACACCCGGGTCTGGTTTGGGTTTGTGGGGTCTCCAGTGAACCGTCCACGGGGAAGGAAGCTGACGTCACAACCTAATAGCTACTGTGTCCTCTTGTCCCCTAGCGCTTTACTTGCACCTGCCCTGTGACTTCCATCTCACTCTGCCCAGTTTTGCACACTGTGCCACGTGCTCAGGACACCTCGAAGTCCCCTACGCAGTGCTGAAGAGACAGACAGGTGCCATGCACAGACCACCTGACTTGCATCCCCGCTACCACGAAGTCCTAGACTGAACCACGTCGTTTCCCCTCTTGCTTAAGTGGCACCTGTGAAAGAAGGGAGGCCAGGACATGATCAATTACTGGGGTGATGGAGGATTTTGTGCTAATCCATGTGGAGGGCCAGGAAGGAGTCACAATGCAGAGAGCCTAATAAACACGGGGACAGGGTGGTGCCACCCACCATCTGTCCTGTCCATCTGTCTGCCTGTGCTGCTTCTCTACCAGCGACACAGACAGAACCCTGCTTGCTTTTCCCTTTGAACTTGTCTGGGTTCTACTCCCCCCAAACCTGAGCTTCCGTGTCGCATTAGCTGACAGCTTCCGGTCCTGCCTGTGGACGGGGATCCCCAGGGAGCTTATTAAAGACCCCGGAGCCCAGGCTGCACCTCTGAATCAGGGTCTCTGTAGCAGAGGCTCACATGTGTGTTTCTAACAAGCTCCCAGGGGACTCAGTCTCAGGCAGATTGGAGAGTCACTCACTGCTGGAGGCCACTGTCGGCCCCTGCACAGTTCCTGCTCCTGACAACCTACTCCCAGAGGCTTTCCAGAGTCCCCTGTCCTGAGAAAGCCAAACCCTAACTCACTCGCCAGGCTCTTGGGTCTCCCCATTGCCCAGCACAGATTCTTCTCTGCCTTCGAGCATTGAAAGCCACCAGTTAATTTGGTTTGTGGCTTGAGAACTGTCACACAGGAGAAGGAAAATGAGACGTTGACACTGTGGCACACGATAGCATCCCATGTCCCAGCTTAAAACCAGAGGGCTTTGGAGTCCGTCCCTGACTGTTGTTTTCATTTGGGGTGTTTTTGTGTGTGTGCTAGGGATGGAACACAGGACCTCGACTATGCCACGCAAGTGTCCCACCACTGTACTGCACCACCAGCCCAAGTCCCCGAGTTTAAATCCTGGCTGCATGGATCCTTAGGAGTCACGTGACCATAGCAGATTACAAGTCTTCAGTGTCTCGTTTTAAAGTGGGGATAAAAGCAAGTAGAGAGGCAACAGGGTTTGTAACGTTAGTTAAGAGTCTGGGGTCCAGGCCAGGTACCATGACGCGTGCTTGTGATCCTAGCTACCAAGGAGGGAGAGAGCAGGAGGATCAAGGTTTGAGGCCAGCTCAGGCAAAAGTGTGTTGGCACAGACCTGTCTTCCCAGCTATTTGTGAGAGTAAACAGGAGGATCTTGGTCCAAGGCTGGCCCAGACAAAAACATGAGGCATTACTCAAAAAATAAGTAAAGATAAAAAGGGCTGGGATGTGGCTTAAGTGGTAGAGAGCCTGCTTGAGTTCAAAGCCCAGTACCACCGAGAGAGAGAGAGAGAGAGAGAGAGAGAGAGAGAGAGGCCTGGGCCAAATCCTGGCTATACCACTTACCAGCGGTGCAACCAAAGCCAGGTTACTTACAGGCTGCATCTCCACATCCTTATCTGTAAAATGGGAGCAGGGGATCCTACATGGAGGGCACTTAGAATTGTCACTCTTAGCTCTCTCTTACCCCAGGGGCTTGAGAAATTTATATGAAATAGCGTGTGAAAAATGATACCACAGAGAGTGGTTCATGGCAAGTCCTCAGACAGGATTAGCTGATCGCTTTATGAAAATGGTCTTTCCCACCTCTTCTGGTTAATTCCCACTCCTCAGATACAAACTAAAAGGTCATTTCTGCCTAGAAGCCAGTCCTGATTTCTCCTTATTCCTACCCTTGAGATTAGGTTTCTGTTTTCTTAACTAGCATTTATTATGGTTATAATTAATTGGTTATTTGATGACATATATTCTCTAGTTAGCCACAGAAGTGAATTCAGATGTGATCAGGGATCAGGCACAACCAGCCCCATTGGCCTGCCACCCAGCAGCGGTCATCAGCAAGGTTCCAGGTAGTGCCTTAGCAGGGCTGGCTGTCACCAGTTAGCAATGTTCTCCTACTGAATACAAATAATTTCACAAAACGTCAACATCAGGCCAGACCACATTGAGTGTGACATGTTGGAGAAGCGCCCAACCAACCATGGCTCTTGAACCATGCACGGGTCCAGGGGGGACAGTGTTAATGCCTTGCCTGCCCCGTGGATGGGAGTGACAGTGACTTCTGTACCTACTAGTGCCTCAGACTGCCTCTAGTTTCTCTCCCTCTAGATCATATTTGTGAAGACGTCCAATCATAAATTCACCCTCTCTTCCTTA